CCCCCCCCCCCAGCAGGTTTGTCTTCATCCACAGTCCCGCCAGGTCCTGCTGGGCGATCGGTGACTATTTGCCGGACACTTAAATGAGCGCTCAGTAAATCCCACAGATGACCACTGCACGGTGCGCTGGGATACAGAAGGGGAAAGGGGCTTGAAGCCAGAAGGTAAGAACCACAAACCGGACTTTCCCAGCAGCTGAAGATAGGAAGCACCCTGAAGGGGTGATTTAATATTCTCCGAAAGCATCTTTCGGTTTCACAGAACACAGTTTAAAGACACCTCGCTCTGCTTCAACTATACTGAATAACGAAGGCTTTTTCTGCATTTTTAAAAATGAAAATCTGTTGCCTGGACTTGACTTTTCTGCATCATTTTCTTCTCCTAAACGCTGCCTGACAGCTGCTGAGATTCAAACTGAGGTAGCCCCAAGGACTTGATGAATTGGCTTGTTCAGGAATATTCACTGAGCCCGCAGTGTACCAACTTCCAAGTGGTTTCAAGACACGGAGATAAATGGAACGGGGTGCCTGTTATCAATCTTCATGCTGTGTGAGCGGGGAGAGGGTGGAACCCTTGATGGATGTGTAAGTCCTTGGAGGGATCGTTCTCGGCTCGATGGGGAAGCTGTGTGCTCAACTCTTCAGGGGAGAGGGCTCGGCAGCGACACGACTTGGCCAGATTTTCTCTCCAGGTTGTGACTTGTACCGGTGGGAGTGAGATCACAACACGTTTCTTATGCAACCTCACCCTCCACCCCGGCCCCCACCCTTCACACCTACTCCCCTTTTAATCTTTTCAACAAGTAATTAAAGTTGGCTTGACCTCAAACATCCTCTACACCCGAAGAAATGCAGAGATGATTGATTGTTGCTCTCAACTATTTTGAGACGAGAATGATGCTTTCTTCAGCTTTGTGACCTCCGAGGCAGGTGTTAGATGCTGACGGGGCATATGATGGAACTCTATTCGGGGATAGAGGGGGGTCGACCAGATCTCTCTACCGCAAAGCTGCCGTCTTTCCCTTTGTAAGGAATTAGTGTCTTCCGAGGAGATACTTTGGGACTCTGCAAATAGCTGCTTTCTCATCAAACTTTCACCACTGGTTTTAGCATCCAAGGATGATTCTTGTCTTAAATGATTATTATCGGGGCGCCTGGGTGGCGCAGTTGGTTAAGCGTCCGACTTCAGCCAGGTCACGATCTCGCGGTCCGTGAGTTCGAGCCCCGCGTCGGGCTCTGGGCTGATGGCTCAGAGCCTGGAGCCTGTTTCCGATTCTGTGCCTCCCTCTCTCTCTGCCCCTCCCCCGTTCATGCTCTGTCTCTCTCTGTCCCAAAAATAAATAAACGTTGAAAAAAAAAATAAAAAAATAAAATGATTATTATCGTACCGTGTGTCCAATGGTGGTTTTTCCCAGGATCTTTTATTTTATTTTTAGAATTTTAATTCACGTTAGTTAACGTACCTTGTGGTCTTGGCTTCAGGAGCAAAACCCAGTGATTCTCCTCTTACACACGATGACCGGCGCTCATCCCAACAAGCGCCCCCCTGAGGCCCATCCCCCATCTGGCCCATGCCCCACCCCCCTCCCCTCCAGCAACCCTCGGTCTGTTCTCTGCATTTAAGAGTCTCTTAGGGTTTGCCTCCCTCTGTGTTTTTACCTCATTTTGCCAGTTTCTTTTCAATACAACCACGCATTAAAACAAAACCCCGCTGCAGTCCCCGTGCCTCTTGTTAGCTACGTGACCTTGGGCAGGTCACTGGTACCCTCTGAACTTTATCTTTTCAGTAGGGCGGGAGTAATAGTAGCAATTAACTCACAAGGGCTCTTTAAAGATGAATTAAGGAGGATGTGCAAAACTCTGAGAACAGAGTGTGATCAGCAGCAAATATTCCATCAAGGTTAGCTATTACTATTATAGCACGTCCCTCATATTGCTCGACACCCATGGGATCTTCACTACAGAACTCAATCTTGGCAGATTCTGTGCAGTTAGAAAGCAGATTTTGTGATAGTGCCTTGACATGAGCAGCCAAGTCGTTCACACCGGCAAAGGGATTTCGGAAAGGGTTTACGTGGCACGGGGAACACCGAGGGGCTGTGCTCCCAGCTCCTCATGGCAAACACCTGCGAGCCCCGTCAGTGGCTTCCTGTCTGTTTCTCCCCTAAAGACAAGAGCTCTGCTAGAGATCAGTCCTCCGGAGGTTTTCTGTGGAATTAGGGTTTGGGTCACACGCCGGATTTTCTTGGGACGTGGGGGTCTCCTGAGGATTCCGGGGTGTGGGAGCACCTTATCCGTGTCTGAACCGGAGTGCGTTACTGGACAGGGTGTTTGTGGGTGTAAATATCTCCGGGATGGTCATGGAGAAGCAGAGACTCAAATGACAGCGCGTGACTGTGGGGAAGAGGGAGGGACGAGATCCCCAGCAGCTCATCACGGAGGCCTTTCCTTGGACGCCTGCTGCAAAAGCACCACTACGGTATATTCTAAATAAAATCCTCTTTTCCCGGGGTGCACAGCAGACCGCTAGGCCCCTAGAGTGTTGCCGTCTATAAGAAAAGGAAGATCACAAGGCCTCATATTTTGATTTTAATTCTCTGTCAACTGGGCAACATGGCCTCTGAAAGGTCAGCTTTTTCCAGCTCCCTTTCCATATAATGTGGGGGTAATTGTACTGCCCCCCCTTCAAGTTCACATCTACCGGAAACCTTATTTGGAAAGAGGGTCTTAGCCTGCAGGGTGGAGGTGAGGTCATGGCGGACTAAGGCAGGTCTCAGCCAGCGACTCGTGTCCGGAACAGACAGCCACGTGCAGACAGACAGATTCCAATGATCGCTCTACAAAACGAGGAACAGCGAGCATTGCCGGAAGCCCCCAGAAGCTCGGATGGTGTCACAGACCAGACTGTTCTCCAGAACCTCCGAGAGAGCAGGACCCTGCTGTCACCTGGATTTGGGACTGAGATTCGGGCTTTTAAAACAGAAATTTCGGGGGGGGGTGGGGGGGGCGTTGCTTTCTAATCAGGTACATCGAACGCAGTCAAAATCCCACCTAAAGTCGCTCTTGAAAAATCAACGGATGGATCATGATCCGAGGGTTTGAATTTTCCGGCTTCCCCCAATAACACTATTCTTGGCGATACTTGCCGAAGACGAGGGCACTGTGGTGCTGACCTCACAAAACCGGCCAAATGCCCCAGTGCTTCCTTCTCTTGTGCTAAAAAAGGAAACTTCTGGCCCACCATCATGACCATCCAGTGTTCACGAACCCGATGTATAATTTCACTCATTCATTTTTTCAGTAAGTATTTACTGGGCACCTACTACGTGTCAGGCGCTGTCCCAGACACCGGGGACACAGCAGCGAACAGGACACGGCAGAAATTGCTGCCTTCGTGAGCTAGTGTGCGGATACAGGCAGCACACAAGGTCAACAGTTAACATCTAGAACATCTGTCAGGTGGCGGTACGGACTGAGGAAAGTGCGAAGCGGTGAAGAAAGCCAGGCTGCAATTTTGGACAGCGTTCCAGAAGGGGCTTCGTTGGGAAGGGGACAGGTGAGCATAGAGTTTAGGGAGAAAGGGGAACGAGCCAGGTGGAAATCAGAGGGAAGAGCACTCCGGGCTGAGCGCACAGGAAGTGCCAAGGTCCTGCGGTAGGGCCGGTGTGGCCTGTTGCGGAACTGAGCAGAAAAAGCAGACAGGAAAGTGACAGCTGAGGCCTGGGAGGGAGGAGAGGTGAGACCGAAAGGCACGGAGACCCAGTAAGGACGTCGGCTTCTCTCCGGGAGAGGTGGGCCGGTACGAGGAGGGTCGGAGCAGAGGCGCGACAGGCACCGACCGAGTTTTAGGCAGTCGCTCTGGGGCTGAGGCGGTGAGAGCAGAGGCCGTGAAACCAGGCAGGAATCACTCAGGTGAGAGGCAGAGGGCGTGTGGGCGGCGGGTGGGCCGTGTGGGGCTCTGTTCTTCAGCAGGTGGAGGGAGACGGACACACACGGGTCTGAGCATCTCTCGGTCTCTCCGCTCAGTTTCTGCACGGATCCGGTGAGAGAGGGGCTGGGTCCCCTGCAGCTGCTACAAAGTCGTTTTCCTCGTTGTGTCTGTGTCTCCGTCTGCACGGAGAGCAACAGCTGTACGTGTTCGTTCTTTCCCGCCGCAGAGTCCGGTTGGCCGTGATCTTCACTCACGGCTCTTTGGCAGCATCGGGCACTGGATTCGTTTCCCGAGGCTCCTGGGACAAGCCGCCCGAACTCAGTGGCGGTGAAAATATCCCCTCTCAGTTCTGGGGCCTGAAGGCTGAGGTGGGGTTCGCTGGGCTCCCCCGCCGGGCCGCTCCCATCAAGCCCCCCGAGGACTCCACCGGCTTCCCCTGGGCCCTTCCACTCTTCCCTCTTCCCGATCTGTCGGCGGGACGCAGGCCAGAGCTCACTTCTCCCCAGACCCTGCTTCCCTCGGCTCCCGGAGACCACACCCTGCTCTCTGCCCACCGCTGGGGAAGCCCCCCAGCACCCAGCCCGCACCTCTCCCCCCGGACCAGCTAACCGGGGGGCCCCCCAGAGCCCAGGCGCGGCCTCGCGTCTCCCCACCATTGCCTGCCGGGCAGTCCCCCGGCCCCAAGGCTCGAGCCACGGCCTCCACCATCATGACCCCCGAGTCGCCACCGTCGGCCTCTGGCTCAAACCCCAGGCCCGCATATCCAGCCGGCTCCTTGACGTCCCCCCACGGCTGCCCAATGGACACCAGGCGTGAGCGGTCAAGAGCAGACAAGAGCAGGGAACGGAGACAGCCGGGGCCGACAGGAGCTTCCAGGAGCTTTGTGGAGAGGGGAAGAGAGAAACGGGGCAGGGGCTGGAGGGGACAGGGGTCCAGGGAGGTTTGTTCGTTTAAGACCGGCTAAGAGCACACCTGCAGGCTGGTGGGAAGCACTCGGGGGAAGGAGGGGGGACCCAGAATCCGGGGCGTAAGGCGGGGAACGGCCCGGTCAAGCTCGGGTGAGGGCAGCAGAGCGTGTGGCTGATACGCAGGTACCACTTCCTAATTTAAAATAATGTGCTACTTTCTTTTTCTCCTGGACTCTATACCCAGCAACACGACCCTTAAGCGTTCAGTTCCCACTTGTCTCTACCCAGGTCTTCTGCACAGACCGTGGCGTGAATCCTTCCCAAACCACACAGGTAAAACAGGAACATTGGACGTGACGGAAAGTCTTTAACATGGAAGAAGTTCAGGGGCGCCTGGGTGGCTCAGTCAGTTACACATCCGACTTTGGCTCAGGTCATGATCTCACGGTTCGTGGGTTCGAGCCCCACGTCGGGCTCTGCGCTGACAGCTCGGAGCCCGGAGTCTGCTTCGGATTCTGTGTCTCCCTCTCTCTCTGCCCCTTCCCTACTCACGCTCTGTCTCTCTCTGTCTCAAAAATAAATAATAAACATAAAAAAAAATTTAAACAGGAGAAGTGCAAAGCAAATGTGGTGGCATTTTCTTAGCCTCTGTGTATTTTGCAAAAGCCAAGATCCCAGTTCATGAGAAGCCTTAACAGGTCCCTGCTTCCTGTCTGGACGGCACGTTTCCATTAGGTGGAACTCGCCTTGGGCCGCTTTACCGTCTTCGCAACACGGCGGCCGCGAAGATGCACAGTGTTAAAAGAAGGCAGGCGAAAAGAAAGAAAGAAAGAAAGAAAGAAAGAAAGAAAGAAAGAAAATTTAAAAATAAAAGAAGGAAGGCATCCGACCAGAACAAAACCAAAAGGGAGCTGTGATCCCAGAACTGGACGTAGAAAAGAGGGAGGACATAGGGAATGCATGGGTCTCTCTCATTTTAGAATCTTAGAAACATTTCAGGAGCAAAGTAAATGGGTGGGTGGAGCATAATGTCTACTGAACAATAAAGTTGGGCCAAATGCCTTTTCTAGAGAGAGAGGGAGAGAGGGAGGGAGGGAGGGAGGGAGAGACTGAAACGCATTCTTTGTTAACCCAACTACAATCCAATTAACGATGAAAGCGTTTCCGCCTTGTTCCAGAACATGGGGGACCGTGTCTCAGAGCCCCCTCCGTTACCTCTTAGGGGACCTGAAAGGAAATCCCTACTTCAAAATGTTTTCCAAATTAAAGTGTCTGATGATCAAATCTGCCCACAAATGCTGGTTCTCTGTCTTGACTTTAGTGCTGGTGTGTTTTCATGAGTAGAGTTTTCCTTCGGTCTGTAAGGCGCCTGATGCCCCAGGGCTCTCGGCCACCCCACCCCCCACCCCCACCCCGCAACCCCCAGCCCGTTGTGTTTCATCTCATTTTCTTCCAAGAGTTCATAAAAGTCAGTCCCCGGACCCTGGGGGTGAAAACAGACCCGAGCCGTCGGGCTGTGCTTGGCCAACTCCGGGCAAGGGCGCTCATCCTGAGGCTGGAATCGTAAGGCCACGTGCCTCCGAATGTTTCCAGGTGTCTGCTCCCAGTGTGTACAAATTCCCATTTGTACAGGATCCGTTGTTTCTTCTGTCTCCGTCCCAGGGAAAGTAGAGGTCACCGAGCCACAATGCCCCCTGATGTCCCCTCCCCTGCTTAGAAACAAACCTACAATGGTCCCCATCTCTTCTTTGGGGGAAAACACAGCTCTTTTTCCTTCCACACGTTATCCCCCCATGGGAGCTCGTGGCCTGTATGCTCCCCCCCCCCCCCCCGTTGTCGCAGCTCGTGCCTCCCTTCAGGCACCAAACTCGCCTCCACCTGCCCCCGAGCTCAGCTGTCCTCCCTCTCTCCGCTCTCCTTCCAGCTGCTTCCCTCGCGCTGGGGCAGCCCAAGGGCAGCCGGAGCGCCTGGCTCGGCCGCCAGGACCAGCCTGGCTCCCAGCCCCCGTGTTCTCTATAGAAACCCATGTTTGAAGGCCCTGTTCACCTTCCAAAGACTAAACGCCATGTTTAACTTCATCTAGGAACTTTCCACTCTGCGGACCAGGTGCCCGTTGAAATGCACCCTTTCTTCGATTTCTAGATGGCCCTTCTGCCCATCTGGCTACCCCTTTTCTGTTTCTTCTGTCTCCGGACTCTGTGGCTATGAGTCTCGTGGTTGGTCACCCTGGCCACGTCTGCAGAGCACTCCTAAGGGTCACACTCCCTGCCCTGGTTTCTGCCACACACTGAGAGCCAACTCTGTTGTTCCGCCTCAAACCTTCCCTTGAGCCGATGGACCATTTCCTGAGAGCTTCTTGAACGTGACCTTCTAAATAGACCATAGACTCAAGTGTAACAAGTCTGTAATTAAATTCACTATCCCACGGCCCGAGCCCAACTCCTCCGGGCTCATTCCCTACATCGATGGCGTCCCAACCTTCCCCAATCGGACGTCACATCTTATCTCTTCTGCCCCTTGGATCTGGATCATTCTCCTGCCTGGACTGCTCTCACAGCCCTTAATCTCTGTCCCAGGTCATAATTTCTTTTCCTTCCAGCTCATTTTTTGTCCCAGGAATGTGCATCAGCATCACCGGGCAGCTTGTTCAAGGAACATTCACCAAGCACTTGCAAATGTGCCCTCATTTTTGTTCAGACGAAACTTCCAAGGTTGGCACTCCCATTTTTCAGGCACAGGAGGGAAGGAACTTGGGAAAGGTCCCACTGCCAGCGCTGGTAATGCCCCAATTAATAAGCACGGTATTTATTTATTTACACTCACAGATTGTGTGTCTACTTATCCCCGTATTCCCAAAGCTGTTTATATATTGATTTAAATAAAAGTTCTTCCTTTAGCAAATGAACGCACTCACATTTCTCATTCGCACTTGATGCTCACAGCGCCTGCCCTGTACATCAGGAAACCAGCCTCATCAAACGTGCACATGTGATAACACTTCTGATCGAGACAAAACACCTTAAATAAATAAATCGTCTTGAGACTAGAAATACATGCATCACGGTAGTTAATTGTTCTCTCCTACTGGGGTTTCCAGCAGGATGCACACACACGCGCGCACACACACACACACACACACACACACACACTCCTTACCTTTCAGCCCTTCAAAACTTACAGCTTTATTCATTCTACATAACTCAGATTTCCTTTTTTGCTCATCGTTGCTTACAGAATTGTCTGTTTTTAAACGCATTTCAAGGGCCCCGTCTAATGATACACGATAGAGAATCACAGGGCTTCTTCTTTTTTTTTTTTTAATGCAGCTTTAAAGTGTGTGGAATACATTTGAATGTGTTTGCATGCTATGTGCATTTTTTTCTTTGTTATAGACGCTTTTAGCTTTTATCATGCATATATAATATGCAGTATGGAACAGATACAGAAAATTACGTAAAGAAAACGCATAGCCCACTTAATATGATGACCGAAACCCTTGTAGGTACCATGCGGGTCACAGGACAGAATCCCGTCAGCCCGCTTCCGAGGCCTGGGGCCCCTGGGCGCCAACCCTCTCCCCTGCTCCGGAAATCACCACCACCCTGGTCTCCTGATACTTACTTCCTGGCCTTTTCCCACAGTTTTATCACTCAGGTGTGATCTCTCAACGCCGTGTTTGGTTTCGTCTGTTTTAATATGTCTCTTAAGTCTTTTTTAATCTATAGACTCCTCCCTTACCCCTTTTCTGTTTTCTGTGTAATTTGTTTGGTGAAGAAACCAGGTTGTTGGCCGTGGTGTATTCCCACGGTTGGGGTTTTCCCGAAAGCATCACTATAGACCAGTCCCCACCGTGTTCCTCTGTTCTTTGTATTTCCTGTAAACTGATAGTTGGCTATCTAGGCTTGATCAGATTCCGGTTCAATTTTTTTTTATGTTCATTTGTTTATTTTGGGAGGGAGAGGGTGCACAAATGGAGGGGGGAGAGAGAGAGAGAGAGAGAGAGAGAGAATCTCAAACAGGTTCCGCACTGTCAGTGCAGAGCCTGACTCGGGGCACCATCCCGTGAGCCATGAGATCATGATCATGACCTGAGCTGAAATCAAGAGTTGGATGCTGGGGCGCCTGGGGGGCTCAGCTGAGCGTCCGACTTCGGCTCAGGTCATGATCTCACAGCTCGCGGGGTTGAGCCCCGCATCGGGGTCTGTGTTCACAGCTCAGAGCCTGAAACCTGCTTCGGATTCTGTGTCTCCCTGTCTCTCTCTCTTTCTGCCCCTCCCGCGCTGGCTCTCCCTCTCCCACTCTCTCTCTCAAAAATAAATAAACATTAAAAAACAAAATAAAAAAAAAAGAGTTGGATGCTTAACCGACTGAGCCACCCAGGGGCCCCAGGACTACAGGGTGCTTAATGTCATGTCTCCTACTTTACATGTGTCATTTGGCTGCCACCACAGTGGCCTCGTTCTCAAGGACGTC